CATTCTTCATCTTTAATTGACCATTATATGATGTGAAATTCAGCAACTGGACTCAAGATGGTCAATTATTCACCACATCAAATTAATTCAATTCTCTCATTATTTCCCCTTTTTACCCTTTTTAGACCAAACTTTCTTTATGGCCAGAAGAGAATATTTAAAGCTCATTTCCGGATCATATATCATATTTTATAACTTTTGACTATTGTTATCATATTTTTATGAAGTCCCTTTATATTTCCTTCATCTTTTGAAGCTTGTAGAGAAGTTTGTAAGATGGCTTTGACAAATGTTAATTTGTTGAAGGTACAGCTTAAGGTCTGACGGATGTATTTGAACCAATTATTTAGGAAAAATCGTTGACTTATCAAGTTTGTTTTCAAAATCAGGCACACTACACCACAATTCTTTGAAAATATTCCAAATATGGCCATATTCAAATTTCAAACAATTTTCATCCAAAAATCAAACAGAAATCATATGATATATATAAATCATCAGTATATTTTCTTTGACAACGGCTCGCGTATTTTCATCGCTTATACTAGATAACAATTTCTGTACCATTGTCATAGCTCAAAAGAAATCTTTGTCATAGCTCACCTTCATTGGATCAACTTTACCAGAAGATTTTACTATTATCTTGTCCAGTAATAACGATAACATATAATCTGAGGACATGACTCACTGTTCACAATGAAAACAAGTGAGACAGAAGGACCCAGATCTTGAAAGTTATTAACATGAGTTAATTCTCTCCAATTATCTTTCTCGTAAACTTTACTCAGCTATTCAATCAAGTAGACATCAAGATCAAGTCACAAGTCATTCAACTTGAAATCATCAACAATACCACTCAGATAATAGTTTGCCAGTCACTTCTGTAGAGTTCCAAACGCTTCAACTTCCACTTGGGATAAGCACATCTTTTATTCCAGAGGTGCTATATTATTGTGGTCCTTGAACAACTCGAGGCATCATATTACCTGCGTGTTGAGATATATTAATTCTAAGCTATGACTGACTCCCTGTGATAAAGAAAGGCGACCCCTGTTAAAAGGGTTTTAACGCTTATATCAGGTTCATACCAATCAACCCCCAGACTATACTATTTGATGTCATTTAGTAAGAAAACTATCAAAGATTTCAACAAGGTTTTTATTTGGCCTTTTATAGTTTAAAATGGAAAATGGAGGAGTGGGTTCAAATCCGCTACTCCTCGAGATTTTCCCTACTGTGTCCATTGTAAAACACCAACATGTTGTTTGTGACAGCAGAAAGTCACCCAGAACAAAAACAGAATTGGAGGATTTTGGCTGAAAGAATACAGTTTTTATCAATATCTTTATGAATTGATAAACTATGGTCGGGGACATTGTTGAAGGAAGCTGGGACATTATAAACATGTAATTTAACATTTAAATAACCGCTGAGTGATTTCAACCCTCCATTTGCTACTTAAGTGGATATACAAGTTTACACCTGACGTATATGTATAGTGTTTGTAACTGAGGTGGTATTGTGCTCTCACTCACTAATTTGCTACAGTAGAGGGACCATTAAGAAGAGAAGAACTGACGGCTCTGGCACATAAAAGAAAACACTTTATGGAGCGATCTACCCCCTGGAATGTCGAGATGACAACATCATTACTTGGTATGCCACACGAATAAAGGGGTGGGCATTCACAGCTGGACCTCTCTGTTGGTGACATATACAAATATTCTATAGTAAAAAACAAATGTAAAATGTTTTGTTATTATTGGATATTAAGATATAAATAATGTAAAAGACTTACCAGTTGGGTGGATGGGAGGGGTAGATTCACTGTGGGATTAACATCAGCTTCTATACCTGCACGTGTTAGGGAAGGTCAACACGTGGATACTGTAGGTAATCGAAGTTCGAACACAGAAAGTCTGAAGTAAATATGATAATTAAACCATCATACCTTCATATTCCCGTGTCAGTTGCGTGAGAAAAGTTGAAAATTTGATGAAGTAATAAAATAGTATTTAAAAATTCAATGAAAGACAAAAGCACGTGAAAACACTTAATAGACTGAAAGATTGAAAGCTCGTGAGAACATTCACGCATCAACACTCTAATGCACGTGCTATTCAGAGAAATAATTCACGTGAAGTTTTGAAGATGATGATAATTAAACAGATTGTTAATGTTTCATCTTTAGTAATTAACAAAAATCTTTACTCAAACAAAAATCGATGCTTTCTTTCTTTCCGTTTGTCTGTCTTTAGTATTTACCTTCTCAGGTGAATTTCAGTCAGTTTTTATTTCGTTAAGTGCTTTTCGATTGTTTACTTTTGTTATATTTTGAAGACAGTGGAATGAAGAGCCCTGAAAGAATTCACCTGTAATCAATTTGATCTTAAAAGGATTGGTTTAAAGAATGAAGGTTTAAGCACTGGCCTTAGTGAATGGCAAGGAACTGGCTCTTTAGCTCCTGAATATTGTAAAGTTCTGATTCTATTTATGTTACAATTGTAAGTTGAAGATAGCTTGCCAGACAAGGTGATATACGCCCACTGAAAGCTGTATTTGAATTGAATTTAATTAACGCACCATGTAATAAAGCACGACAGCCATCTCTAGCTGAAATATTATATTATGATATGGCGTTTCTATGAATCATTAGTAGGAGGGGCCACAGAATTGTCAAGGGGGATTCAATGATAAGAAATTTGAAACTGGTTTGGGTGAGGGTATAAAGTATCTGCAGGCTTCGACGCCACCACTCCCTCCCCCATCCTATTTAATACTAGAAACGTCACTATTAGGTCATTCATCTCGACTAGAAATTCGAGAGTGTTTTACGGCAAAAATAGAACAGAACCAAGGGTCAAATTGCGTAGAATTTTGATTATTTTTCCACAGTATAAGCTCAAAAAATATATCACAAAATTGAATGAGAATTGAAACACTGTAAATATTTAAAGTCACTTATATAAAACGTGTTTTAATTCTTCTGATTACATTTCAATATATCTTTAAAAAATTTATCCTTGGCAACGAAAGGTGTATGTGAAAATATATCATTCTGTATCATTTCACCATGAATAGATGCTATTTAGTAGTCATTGCAATATTTAATGTCTTGCTTACTGACCCTTAAAATTAGCCCCAGTCATTTCAAACTAAAGCACGTATTATTAATATTAGCTTAATTGATATTTGACGTTCTTTGTAAATAAATGAGAAACAAACAACAGTGTTCCAGGTGTTAAGATGCATAAAGCCAGGAGGTAGGAAGAAGCATGTCGGTCGTCCACTTTAACTGACCCTTGGTCAGCGGCAAGATCAAAGTAGGCGTTACCTGGCTAATTGTAATAGGTGACAATAATTAGTTAATAAATACACCAAGAGTGTCATATTGGAATAAAATAGCTATAGAAGACACGATGAAGATTGTTCAGATCGATATGGGGTATGTTTATCTACATTATTCTTCTGTCATCTTTTTAATAACTCAACATTAACTCCTTTAAAGGTTATTATGTATCAAATAGCTTGCCCCGCCTCAAATCTTCAACTATTCTTGAAACAAATTCTTCAATTAAGCTGTCAGTGCTTGATATTTTAAGAAACTATATTGCAAAATCTTCGAAAATATATTACACAGCCTTATTCAAGTTGTTAGGCTACATGCCATGCATTGAAATTGGCTACTCATGGATACAGTATATATTTTAATCACCGGGGAATCACCTTTCAGTCACTCGTCTAAACTGCATAGGTAATCTGTGACCTTTAATTCCCTACCAGTAACTGTTGCTATTTGTCTCATTGTTCCGTTCAATGCCGCAGTGTGCAATAACTTTAAGTAAGTGTCCACGTTTCATTTGTACGGTAAGAAACTTTGACATGCGATGATACGTATGTAATATAGATAAAGACTTGAGTTAGTTGCATCAAGGGAGACAACAATATGACAATAAGTAAAATAATTATAGCCAATTACATGTCATGATAATGAAGAATGAGGGAATTTTAATAGAATTTTCAATATAGACATATCTACTATTCACAGGTGTTCCATAAATCACTTTTACTATTTACCTATATCACTAAGAGGTGTGAAAATTGCAGGGGAGTTATAATATTATGTGTGTCAAAATAATAAATCTTGTAGATAAAATATATAGTATATCCAACGAGGAAGTATCCAAAAAATACCTAATAATAATAATTGACAAAAATATGTCAATAATTCATTAAGACACACATGGTTAAATATGTCACAGTGATGTAAAATGATAGGCTGACCAGGAAGAATCTCCACGGAAATCGATATAAAAAATCATTATAACATGTATATGTACCACAAAGCAGTATCGATATTGAACATCCATCAACCACCAATGTATACATATAAAGGGAGGTAAGCCTATGGATGTGTCAATTCAGACAACAGTTTTATTTTCATCTCGCTGCACACAAGTTTTGTGATCAATGTTATAAGTAGACACAGTAGACCTTTCAAAATTCCGGAACTTTTATTAAAGATGAACCTCAATGCTTTGTTTACTTGCAGGGAAGGAAGGAATAGAAATCTCAAGAAGTTGTGCACGTCAAAAATCATTCGAATCGCGAAAGAAGGCTGATGTGAATATCCAACAAAGCGTGGTCCGTGCCGTTCTCATTAGCCCAATCAGTAGAAGTAGAAAAGTAAGGCGTAAAATTCCTATTGCAATCCTTCATTCGAAGCAGGTTACCTAGTTTCAGTTTACCGCTTTATCGACTGCCTCAAAATGCTTGTTGGTTAAAGAGACTGTCTCCTAGGAGTTACAAATGTACTAAAAATAAGTCCAATTGTTATAAAATAACCAATGCCATGATAAAACAGTTCTGCATACCAAACGTTCTATGTATGTACCCTATATCATGAGAACTTTCCCCGCTGTCTTAAGATAAGAATAGACCGATGAAAGGCCAGTATAAAAGACAAAATAACTGATTGCCTTATCTTTACATAGACCTAGATCCCATCATGAAGTATCTACTCCTTGCTTTAACGGTTACAGCTGTAGCAGGACAACTTCCTCTACCATGCAGTAAGTTGAATTTTTCAGGCATTTATGATATCGGACCGTGTATACTCTGACTCCTATCTTGCGTCTAATTTTGATGGACATCACCAAGGGCAGCCACAGCTCTGGGAAATAAAGAAGTAAGTAAAACTGCAATGGTTTCCATCGTAACATAATAGTAATGTAGAAACTGTAATGAATGTCCTCAATAAATCTGGAAAAACATAACCGAAAGCCACCATAAACTAATCTGTGCTTGCTCTGATTATTCTTCTCTTTACGTTTTATTTCAGCTTCTCCAAGACAATTTGAGTCTCGATTTGCAAGGGTAAGTATCTTTAAATTTACGACCAACACAGGTTATAGAGTTGAGATATACAATATTTCACTACTTTCAACATCTGTTAGGAACAGGGGTTCGACATGAACAGATAGATATATGGGTTTGCTTTTGATCAGATTCTATAAATTGTGAATGCATGCTCAACTGTTCAGTTTTCCTTTTTAGTTTGACCGTGAAAAGAACTTTCAGGAGTTTGCCAAGGTTAGTTATGATGAGGATCAAAAGAGAGTCAGAGAGATCGAGGAGGTAGCAATTGGATCCACTAAAGATTACTATGATGTTCTCTATCTTCATAATATCGTAAGTAATGTGACAATTCCAATTAATATAATTATATATTGTTTGAATTTAGGTTTTGTTTTAGAGTGCATATGTATGTTCAGAATGTTTCGTTTCAGTGTGATGCTGATGAATCAGTAAGTGCACTGAAATTGTAGTATTAAAAAGAAATGAAATTCATTCAAGTGTTGAATAGCTTAGTAAAGTTATCATTATCTTTATACTTCCTTTCTATCTTCCAGGGAATTGAATACAGGTTTAATTTGAGAACACGTAAATGTAATGTTACTACCATTAGTAAAACATTTATACCATTCAGTGTACCAGGGTTTGCTAAATTCGCTGGTCAAGGTAATATTGGTGTTGCTGGTTTCACCAATGAACATGTCGATATTCAGTTATTTGAAGGAAAGACACCAGAAGGACGTAAGATTTAGAAGACAATTTTTTTTACAATTAAACAATATGGCAACTATTGTGTCAACAAGCTATGATGGACAAGTAATATAAATGACACGTTTCATCACAATAAAATCTATATTTCATGTTTAATGTTATACATTCAACAAAGAATCTCTTCTTATCCAGTACAGATTTTGCTCTTATATATTATATTATAGGTCATCATTAAAAATTCGTGCTTTGCGTTTGATTCGACTACGTTAAAGTGTGCATTCAAACTTTTCAGATCCTCTGTTTATAAGTGTAACCTCACCAGACTGTTTCCCAGTAAACTTTGGTTATTACAGCCCAACTGTAGGATACGATCATAGAAAGTAAGTAAAATTTGTCATCAAAACCATGGTTGCACCTGCTTCAAAAAAGTGTTTACACAAGGGTCACCAAGTGAAGTTGATAGTTATAATTAGATCTTGGTGAATATATTGTAGACTGTTACCCTTCCAATGCAACTGATCACACAACTAAATGGTCGATGACAGCCTCCTATTGTTTGTCAACTGACCAGCGTTTTCAGAGTGTCCATAATTCTACTGTTTTTTTTAGGTTCTGACATCAAAATTAGTTTTGTTGAAACTATTTATTCCAGGGATACCGAAGGACCAATTGAAAGTATAATCAGACTCTATTTATATAATTTAGTATTTCATCAGATTAAAAGTATCATTAAAAATACATTTCTACTTTCAGTTTCTATGATGTGACAGTCGGTATTAGAGATCCAAATGTGTTTATTCCCCCAAGTGAATGTATTCAATAAATAGTGTTTAAATAATATATGTATCAGTTTCTATTACATTAGTCCATTTACTACACGCCCCGATTCTGTCTGCTGTTGATGTGGTCAAAAGCTACTTCAGATTATCTAAATAATGAACCCGTCTTAATTGAATAAAAATAACACATTTTCGGGTGATGAAATAAAAATCCGGGTCTGTAATAACACTGCTAATATCACCACTGCCATGACTAGTCAGGTGGTCCAGATTTAACTGAGGCCCAGTGCTGATGATCGTTGGTCGATCCGAGTATGGGCTACACTTTATCCCTCTGTGCACTAAGTGGATGTAAAAGTACGAGCGTGGTGAGACTGACTTGCTTAACAAAGGCCATGGGCGAGGGGGGTTTGGGGTGATGTTTGTTACTTTGTGTTTATCCTTGTTGTTTACACACTAGCAGTGCAAAACATAATCCTTGCTGCCTTCGACTTGCTGTGTATCCTCTCACACTAAATATTGTCTTGTACTTGCTGTCTTCGACTTGATATATATCCTCTCATACTAAATATTGTACTTGCTGTCTTCGACTTGATGTATATCCTCTCATACTAAATATTGTACTTGTTGTCTTCGACTTGATATATATCCTCTCATACTAAATATTGTACTTGTTGTCTTCGACTTGATGTATATCCTCTCATACTAAATATTGTACTTGCTGCCTTCGACTTGATATATATCCTCTCATTCTAAATATTGTACTTGCTGTCTTCGACTTGATGTATATCCTCTCATACTTAATATTGGACTTGCTGTCTTCGACTTGATGTATATCCTCTCATACTAAATATTGTACTTGCTGTCTTAGACTTGCTGTATATCCTCTTATACTAAATATTGTACTTGCTGTCTTAGCCTTATTGTATATCCTCTCATACTAAATAGTGTACTTACTGTCTTCGACTTGCTATATATCCTCTCATACTAAATATTGTACTTGCTGCCTTCGACTTGATGTATCCTCTCATACTAAATATTGTACTTGCTGTCTTAGACTTGATATATATCCTCTCATACTAAATATTGTACTTGCTGTCTTTGACATGCTATATATCCTCTCATATTAAATATTTTACTTGCTGTCTTCGACTTGATATATATCCTCTCATACTAAATATTGTACTTGCTGTCTTCGACTTGCTGTATCCTCTCATACTAAATATTGTATTTGCTGTCTTAGACTTGATGTATATCCTCTCATACTAAATATTGTACTTGCTGTCTTCGACTTGCTATATATCCTCTCATACTAAATATTGTACTTCCTGTCTTAGACTTGCTGTATATTCTCTCATACTAAATATTAATAATTTTACTCGCTGTCGTCATCGACTCGATATTCGCCCTTCCGGCTAAATATTGTGCTGGCTATTTTAGACTTGCTGTATACATTCAGAATTATGCTTGCCGTCTTATGCTTGGGCTAAATATTGTACTTCCTGTCTTAGACTTGCTGTATATCCTCTCATACTAAATATTAATAATTTTACTCGCTGTCGTCATCGACTAACTGTACAGTCGTCATTAGCCCATATGGTGCAGAACAGTAGGACGTAAAACTCCATTCAATCATTTTATTTCGACTTGCTGTATACACACTCGTGCTAAATATTATGCTTGCTGTCTTCGACTAACTATATACACACTCGTACAAAACTTTGTGCTTATTGTTTTCAGCTTGCTTTGTACATTATTAAGAATTATGCTTGCCGTCTTCGAATTGATGTACGCCCCTTGGGATAAACATTGTGCTTACTGTATAGCCTACATACAGAATTATTCTTGCCTCTTCGACTTGATATGCGCCCTTCCGGCTAAATATTGTGCTGGCTATTTTAGACTTGCTGTATACATTCAGAATTATGCTTGCCGTCTTATGCTTGGGCTAAATATTGTGCTGGCTGTCTTATAATAATAATAATAAACTCTTTGTTTTACATGGGCCAGAATTAGGCCCAATACACAAGGACATGGTCCTGTCTAACATTCAGCCCAATATATAAGCTAAAAGTCAGTGAAAGAGCTGCAAGCGGGCTATCTTCGACTTGATGTATACGGTACTCGTACCAAACAATGTATGAACTTTTTTTGAACAAGATGTACACACTTTCGAGTTCTTGCTGTCTTCGATTTGTAGTTGCTGAATTTGGTGTACAGGTTTAAGTAGCAAAACATTATTTGGCATGTAATTTTATACAAGCATGGGCATGTGCTGCACGATGGTTTAATAAATGAGCATGAATAATCTTAATTGATGCCGTTAAGAGTAACCACCAATGCACAGACTCATTGTCCTTGTCCTTCCATTTGTCTTTTCTCCCATAAAGACGTAATACGTGTTCACAAAATGCGGTCAAAAACTGTGCATGCATTTTTTTTAAGAAATTGGGCACAGATAAAATTTGTCTGGCATTAGTGAACTCTTTGACACCTTATCATGAGATTAATCCACGTGGACTGAAATACTTCATAACTTATCATTGACCTACAATTTAACAATCTTATCTATCAACCCAGCAGTTGGTATTCTGTCAGTGTGTTCCACGTCTTCAGATCATCATGAAGGTTCTTTTAGTTTTCTGTGTTGCTGTAGTTTCTGTTTTGTCACAGACGCCTAACCCATGTGGTAAGTTGACACTTATACTTCTCTAGTAACATTACTGAAAGCACATGTCTTTTGGTCTGCAATTTTGTGATTTTCATGGATTCTCGTGAACTTTAAGATTAAAATTTGTTCTTTGGTCATTTCATGAATAAATTATGTTTTATTTCAGTATCTCCAAAGCAATGGGAAGGTAGACTGTTCAGGGTATGTTCATTTTAAGCATTAGGAATTTAAGGTCGTTACATTGAGGTTAAGCAATGTTACGAAAGCACAAGCACAGGCATGTAGTCGTAACCTCTAGTGGTAGAGCAATGTTTGTGAATTTAGTTTGAATAATAATATAGAATATATGAAATGCAAATCCATAATCTTCCGAATCTGAAATATATGGAAATCATAAGCATTATGATTATTTTCGGAATATTTAACAGCAAGGAATATATTTTCGAAACAAACTGAGTTTGTGAGTGTTTATATAAACTCAATACTTGTAAAAGTTATTTAAATGAAGCTTCTTCGCCTTTGGTAACATCAGAAAAGTTTGTAGTAAGTTGTCTTACAGTGGTTGTTTTGTTGCAGTATGACCGTAGCAAGAATTTTCTTCAAAGAGCCAGAATTAGTTATGATGAACTTGACAGACGTGTGAGAGAAGTTGAAGAGATTGAAATTGGTCAAACCAGAGATTACTATGATGTGCTTTATCTACATAACATTGTAAGTTTGTCTTAAGCCAATTTGGTTGATACATTACATTTTTTGTTGAGATAATGTATCAGTTGTAAGAGGGAAGTGGATTGAAGTGCCTCGAAATGTTTGTTTACGACATGGGAATCCAATTTCATTTGGAATAGGGATGAATAAGTTTCAATTTATGGATATTATTCACTTCGTACATAAAAGGTTGCTTCATGTTTATCTTCAGGGAATAGAATACAGACTGAACTTCAGAACCAAAAACTGTACTATTACTCCATTAACACGACCATTCATCCCTGCTGGTCTGCCAGAAGATGCCAAGTATCGTGGTGAAGCTACTATTGGACCTGCTGGTGTACCAGATGAGCATCTTACCGCTGTTCTCTTTGATGGTGAATTTGAAGGAAGTAAGTATAATAAGACACCCAGCGTTCTATTCGATTGGAAGTACACATAGCTGTCAAATGAGAGCATTCAAAGAAACATTTGACCCCTCTGTCTGCATGTTGCGTTTGTAAGATTTTGGTAGATCGAGTACTGATTCTAATCTTTATGATACCAAATCTTCAATATCAATACTCTGCTGAATATATTTTAACTTTTAACATGCTAATTCTTTCAGACCCCTACTTTGGTGCTGTAACCTACCCATCCTGTGCCCCAATTGAAACCGGTTTCTACAGTAACAGAACTGGAACTGTTCATTCAACGTAAGTATACAAGTCACATAAGGTCAAATGGTACTTAAAATTCTTTAAAAACGCAGTTTATCGTCAAAAGGTGTACTGTTATCATCGACGTTTCAAAGTTTGTACATACATGTATCTCAATTTGCTTGCATAACATATTCCAGTTTCAATCCATCTGAAGTTTTTAGGCTGGACATCTGTGTCATTCTAAAACACAATTGTTCTCGAGATTTTCTCTTGTACAATTTCTGTTTTACTTCTATTCTCAAATAATTGTAATATGGTTTCTTTATTTCAGCTACTTTGATATTACTCTTGGTATTACTGATCCTAGTGTATTTATTCCACCAAGTGAATGTACCAGTTAGACATCATGTATATCTAATATAAAAAAATAAACATCCTCATTTCTTGTTTAGTTCATTTTTGTTCGGTTTGAAGGGTAATGTTATTGATTTAGTCGTCAACAAGCCCTTGCTAGTCCATCTCCAGTTAATGGACTTGCCATGCTAAACTCTGCATGTAATCTTCAACATTTTGGTCACAGAACATTAATATTATAATAATATTGTACCTAATGTAACACAAGCCGCTAAGTCCACAATGTGGGAGTATTACTAATTGATAAATGATCACTAAAAACTGATCCATATATGGATCGTATACCTATCCAAAAGTCCACATGCTGGCAAAATCAAGGAGGTATAAGACATGGAAAGAGCCCATTTGCCACATTCATTCATTCAACTTAGAGAATGAAATACATGCCAAAATCAGGTGTCAACGGAAAGAACAAGCGATTTCTACCTTGTGCTCGGTGCCATCTTATATAGAATTCACCTTTATTCAATTGAGATATTGACATTTAAATAACAGCTTTTTGCTATATATAAAGTTCGACATGTTACGGTTGATCACATGGCATCAGTAACTTCCTCATCTTTTGATTTGTAGACAAAATATAAATAAGGTGCAATTATATCAGGAAAAGTACATACTAATTTAATTAGCTTTAAGGAATAGAAGCAATTTGACACCATTTTACAGATTAGATTGACATACAAAACTAAATTTGACGTATATATCTGAACCTTTCGTCAAGAGGCATTTCAGATAAACTGTAATCTTTATCTTGAGATACATTGAAAGCAATGATCCAGCATTAATATTGATATTATAATGAAAATCGTACTGAACGCAATAAAATGTCCTTCAGCAAACCGAGTAGAAAGCAGGACCTTATTCTCAATTTAAAATCCTTTTACAAGCGGAAAGCTAGATAGATATAGGATTTATATAAAGTCTAAATTAAATTCTGACATATTTTATATTACATTGTAATTAGAATCTATTTAATGCTAGTTTTCATTTAAAACATGGTTCTACCATTCAGAAACCCGTCCCCATTTGACTGAACTTTGAACAAGAGATAGTCAATTATTTACATGTCAATTTTAACAGATACGTGTCTATGATCCAAATTTTAACTATATGCGTAAGTCAGGCCACCTTATATTAAATTTTGGGGTGTGTAAAACGTTCTTTTTCAATAAGAGAGATAATGTCCTTACATGCTTTAAACATCAATACTGTCCACAATACTGATGCCGTGGAATATTCTTTTGGGCTTGCCAGTTTTCAGGAAATAACACGAACATGTCACAAATAGCTTTAATATCAACTTAAATACTAGAAAAATACACAATCATAAAAGAGGACACACTCAGTACAGATGTAACGCAAAATTGACAAGTGTCGGTTCAAACGGAAAAGTTTGAATGGTTGTATACAGTATTAACTGTAGTGTGAAATGCTCTTAATTGTAAACCTTCGTACTAGTCCTATTTCATATTACTTTTTTTCGAAGTAATCTTAGGACAAGTTTTTAAAAGGTTTTTAACACAAGTGCATAAATCGTCTTTTTTGTGTATTTTAAGATAAGACAGAAAATGAGATCTTGGCACCTGGTTTAAGAAGTTTACATGTTGGAACAAGAGCAGTTGTCTGTCAACATGTTAAGGTGGTTGGTTTGTTTCTCTCTTCTTGTTTGTGTTATGTCTCAGACACCAAGGCCATGTGGTAAGATTATCGTTTGGAAGAATGTAAAATTAGTTTTATTTTAAAGTCTTCAAGAATGAAACAAAATTGTTTTACATACACACTTAAAAATAGTTAAAATACCAGGTAAACCTAAACTAAAGAAAATCTAATTTTGGTTTTGTAGAAAGTCCGAAGGCGTGGGAAGGAGATGTACACACTGTAAGTTTAAATTTTCTACTTCTATTGAGATGGGGGTGTTGTGCCAAACTTTTCTCGAGTTGGCTACTTTTTGAGCTTAACAATTTGGAAGGTTAATTTATAACTACCTATCCTTTTACATGGAAAGGTGAGCGCATATTCTAGTTTGTTGGTCGTTCCAATTCTCTTGCCGTCGGTCTGTTATGCTGTATTTCGCTATGTGCTTTCTAGACAACTTACCTAGACAACCCTTTATCCAGTTTGACGAGTCCAAAAAATTTAGAAGAAATGCCCGAATCACCTATGATGAAGAAAACATAAGAATCAGAGAAGTAGAAGAACTGGCTATTGGATCTAAAGATGATTTCTTTGATGTTATCAGACTCTATAGGGAGGTAAGAAAGTTACCCTTTTTCCCAGTAACGTCTCAAATATAAAGAAATGTGACCGCTAAGGACTAAACGAGAGACGCAAGATCGAGGTTACGGCCGCACCCACTCTTAACATGGTAAAATACTTTTATTGCCAGACATACACAATTCTATAAGTGTGTTGTCATTTCTTAAGTTTTAGTTTAGATCTACTAACATTTGTATTTGGAACTGCCAGATTGAGGTTGAAATTGTGGTCTATCTGTAAGGGACACTACTCTATAGTTCTCAGTTCTCAACTAGATGGGTGGGGGAGAGGGGCGTGGACTTGATCTTTTGGGTTCTCTTCTGCATTCTAAGATCCCATTGGAAATGGATTTAATGTCTGTTATTAACTTTTTCTGAGGTATTTGTGCCCGTGGACATGGTTCAACCAGAACCTATGGTAGTTCAGTCACTACTTGTTTTACATTTTAGGGTGTTGAATATCGCTTAAATTTAAGAACCAAGGTATGCAACGTCACAACTTTAACTCGACATTTTGTTCCCATTGGGTTCCCACCAAATGCAAACTTCAGTGATTCTTTTGTCATTGGGATATCAGGGTTTCAGGATGAAGAAGTGAGTGCCATATCTTTTGATGGTGTTTTTGAAGGTGGTAAGTATATTTCGTTTTTTATGCGATTAGCATTAGTATTTTAAGGAATACTATTAAGTGCTGGGCAAATCTAAAGAAGTGCATTTAGACTTAATATCAATTTTTATATCTCAAACCGTGGTAAAATACTCAAGATTTTCAGTAATGCATTCATTAATTTGGTCGGAAACCATAGGCTTGGTGTAATAATATATTTATTTTTCATGTTTATAGTACAATTCTATGGTATTGTAACAACCCCAGATTGCTATCCTGTTCATCTGACCACTCAAAGTCAACAATTCGGTTTAGCACAAAGTCAGTAAGTTATCTGTTGATTTTTGGGAAAACGATTCATACATAATAATGCCAACTTAATATATCATATCCTATTGTCGCGGTCGACTTTGCTTTCTCTCTCTAGCGCTGTAACTTCCCCCCAACCTCATTGCCAAATTGCTTGGATTACTTTGCTCTGTCAACATCAAATTTGATAATGTGTCTTAGATTTCGGGCTCCCAAGCGCTAGTTTTCAAACAAACAATAAATGAGATACTTTATAACATTACAAAGAGTTTATTTCCGGAAATTTTTCTCTGTCAAGATATTTGAACCTATCGTAATGAAAAAATGTCTATATAGATGCGATACACAAAAAATCTCATATCACACAACTCTACCACAGCTGACAATGTCTTCTGGTATTGTATATAAATTAGTGTCCAAAAGAAACGATACCAACTTATTTTCAAAATTGTTTTTTACTAAGTGAATTGTCTAATATGAAAACATGCCAATTCGTATTGCACATCCCAAACACAGCATAGTCGATAAAAATACCGGGAACACGTGATCACTTCCGGGAAAAAACGTAAATTTCATGAAAGTGACATTTCCCTCTCTAGCATGTTCTGCATGTGCATAAAAACTGTATAAAACGGCTGATCAGACACGTTGATATCACAGCAACAAAAAGAACACAAGATATGCCCCGTTTGACAGCCATCGAGAGAGAGAGAGCCGTTGGAATGGTCCAACAAGGAGCGACAAACGTCGACGTCGCCAGAAGGTTGGGCTGCGCACGCATCACTATCACCAGGTTGATGCAGCGGTTACGTCAGACAGGTCAGACGTCAGACAGGCCCAGGAGTAGAAGACCACGAGTAACCACGCCCCGTGAAGATCGTTACATTCGGGTATTACACCTGAGGAACCGCACCGTAACAGCGACGTCCACGGCAACTACAGCACTGGGACACAGGATCAGTCGACAGACCGTCTACAGGAGACTACGGCAGTATGGTATCCGGCCACGTCATCCCTACCGCGGACCGCTCCTGACGCCTCGACACCGGAACAACAGACCGATCTGGGACAGGCGAGTTCGAAGTTGGCAACGGCGGGACTGTACACGTGTTATGTTTTCTGATGAGAGCAGATTCCTCATCTTCAAAAACGATGGACGGCAGCTTGTATACCGACGATTTGGTGAACGTTTGGCGCCTAACTGTATCCAACAGGTCCGGCCGTTTGGAGGTGGAGGGTTAATGGTGGCATATGTGGTGACGTCAAAACGAGGCTTGTCGTAATTCCTGGAAACCTGAATGCACAGCGTTATATTGATGGTGCCCTTTATTCAGCAACAGCCTCGTGGGCTCCTTTTCCAACATGACAATGCAAGGCCACACACAGCAAGATTGACACAGAACTTCCTTGCCAACGCCAACGTACAGGTTTTGCCATGGCCCGCATGTTCACCGGACATGAATCCCATCGAGCACTTATGGGATCACCTCGATCGGCAAATCCGACGTCGCCGTGTGCCTCCAGTAAACGTCCAGGACTTGGAACGATGTCTCCTCGAGGAATGGCAACGCATCACTCCCAACGTCATCATACGTTTGACGGCATCAGTCCGTAGGCGTGTTCTGGCATGTATTGATTCTCACGGTGGACATACCCGCTACTAACTTGACGTTGTGACGTGTGGTGTGACATTTCCCGTTGTTTCTGATCAGTGCTCTAACGAAATGTTCTTTTTTCGACCCCACCCATCTTTAAAGGCTTGTCATATTGGTTGTACAGATGTTGTGAAAGGATTTCTCAAACACCAATCCCAAACTTCTGCATTGTTTAGTTTTTCTTTTATGTCGTTGCAAACAGGTAGTATCGTTTCTTTTGGACACTAGTTTATGTTCAGAATAAAGAGAGCCAATACAGCATACGAGCAATTGTCACCAGCATTGCCCAAATCTTAAGTAAATTGTTCAATTGTATGTTTATGAAACGTCCCCAAAAAAGTTCACGAACATTACCTACTATCGCCTATAAAATGTTTCTAGAAACCTTGTAAAATCCACTATGAATTAACATTATATTTGTTGTATTTTCGTAGAGTTTTGGGTTATTATAGAAATCACTATGGATATACTTTCAGATATTATAATATTAAAGCTGGAATACCAGATCCTAATGTGTTCATACCACCTCCTGAATGTACTCGTAAATAAATGTAATCTCGTCAAGCAATATAATGTTTCTGATTACATGATTGCCTTAATTTCTACCGGGATTTCCTTTCACTGAAGCATCATCAACAAAATCTGAAATAAAAAGAAGCCGTTGCTGTTTTAACAGATTGATTTATATATGGTTCACATCACAAGAGCTGGGAATTATCACCATATGTCAACATAAAATTAACTGATATGCTATTCGCAATCTTACGGACATTAATAAACCTAAAATTGGTTGAAACACATTACCTTTAATAGTGGAAGTTTGTCTAGCATACAGTGGCTTGTCTCTGATAACATCACTGTAACTAGTATATTCTTTATGATATACAGGTCGACTTCCAGGATAATTAGATTCATATTCAATACGATCTCTTATCGGGTACTTGGATTGGTAACCTAATGGTTCTTTATAATACCCACTATTGTACCGTCGGTGGTAATTATTCTGATATCCACTGAAATGTTAAACATGGAAAATTACTCGACCATTCTGTAGCTAAAAAGGGTTCGGGGTTCTTAAGCAAAACAAACCATAACAATAAGTAATATTGCGACGGTAGAAGTGACTCGCCGACGAAAGTAATAATATGTCTTTGAACGACTCAATATGTTTTGTACTAACTCAAACGTGGAATGGGCATACAATCTTCAACTTCAATGCAATTTTTGACGGAAAACATGGCATAATTAACAATAAACAAAATCTGAAGAAACTTATAAATAAAATTACTTACTACTCGTCAGAAGATGGATAAACACTCGACTCTTTTCTGAAACCAAGAATACGCTTTCATGATGTTATCCAAAATAGTTTCATTTGTGAGCCTACATAAGCTTTTAATTAGCAGAATACTATAGGTTACAGTTAGTGGAATAATGCAAAAGATAGTTACCCTGGTCCACAGCAGTATCCAAGCAACATCCTTTTGATACAGAAATAGAACGCAACCAATAGTAATATCAGTAGCACAATGGCCAGAACAACAACTATAGCTATATTTGTTGGTTGATCAAAGAAGGTTTCTTGTGTCTTGGAAGACGCAGTAGGGGATAAACCAGGTTGGTCACCAGTCGCAGTAGCTGATGATTGTATACTAACAGGTACGGTAACGTCACTTAGAAAGCGGACTATTATGACCCCAGTTGATGATAGTGGCGGAGATCCTTTGTCTGTCGCTCGAATTGTAAGTATAGCTGTAGTGTCTTGCATTGAGCTTGGAAATTTCTTGGTGTAGTGTACTTGACCAGAAGCTACAATTGAGATATTAAATTAAAAAGCGGAAACCAAGAAAGTGTATTCTCCTGGTTTATTAAAAACGTAACTGTCGGCATACACAAGAAAAATTAATTTTTGGAATTAAATATAGAATTTCACCAAGTTTATAAGTGTACTCTACGAGTTCTGTCGTACTTACGTAGTATGGAAATGAAATCTGAGTAGACAGAGGGGTTAATATTCAACAAAGCAAACTCAATCTCACTATTCGAACCGCTGTCATTATCTGTAACTTGTAATTTTCCAACAGTTCCTAAAGTATAAAAAAAAAATTGTTTAGTTACTTTTATTTATTAATACATTTCTATTTTTTTTTTCGGTAATATACAATCTGTAGTCTAATTAGATTAAATTTTATGGTCAATTTTTAGGTCGAAAGGTAAATTTGACGAACGTCTTTAAACCCTAACTGAATTGGCTATATTAAAAATAAAAGCTAATGAAAAAACAAGGAACTAAAGTTTTGTCTAATTTTAGTAAGGCTGGGTATCAATGGACGTTTTGCTCTTAATAAAAACATATTGTGAACAAATCCCTAGCATATAAACAACTAATGGTGTATAATTCTGACGGATAAATAAACATGTATTTACCAACAGTAGTTGAAGGCGTTACATCAACGCCCTGATTTGGCAAAAACACAGGAGAATTGTCGTTCTTGTCCAAGATTGCGACCATGATCTGTGCGGAACTCGATTGTCCGGCACTGTCTGTAGCTTTAATCTCAACCTGAACACTGCTAGGCATAGCACCATTGTCCACATCATAATCCACAGAGAAAGTAAGATATTGAGCATCTGGTGATGTAAATTGAAATCGTTGACTTTCAGCATTATTTACTATAGATAGAGTGAAACTATCCCCTTCTGGATCGTTTAATACCATACCCAGTTTACAGGTTGATACCCGTGCCTGCAATTCATAATGGAATTTTGGATCACCACGACTATTAGTTGTGGCTACTAAATAACCCATGAAAACGCCCGATTCGAAAACCAAATATACTACTCTCCATCTTTCGTCTGGAGAACATGTCTTTATTGGTACATGAGTCAATACAAGTGATTCAATTCCGAAAGGTTCTTTGCTAATACATTTGATCTGGTGTGACATGTTGGTTTTCGCCTTGTTATCAAGCTTTATAGGAACTGGACATTATAATCATATTCAAGATATCAACATTGTGTGCAACAAAAACATCCACGGCATATTTGGGCATTTTCTAAGAACATGTTACACCTAAACTTCAAATTGGGCTATATACAGATTGCAGAAGTCGAGTTTTGAACCATTGACATGGGATTGCAATTCTACATTAAAAGTCTTCCAATTAAGGGCTATTTTCATGGTCGGGTATCTTACACAGCTTTCATTAATTCTAATGATGTTAAAGTGGATTACCTGTGATTCAGTAAGTTGACAAGGATTAGGTTGTGTAGTAAATACTGGTGGTTCATTTATATCAGTGATATTAACAGTCAATATATCAGTACCATCAGAATACAAATAATCATCAAATATAGTACACGATATAGAGAAGGATTTAATAGATTCGTAGTCCAACCTGCTCGTGCCATCTGGTTTACCAGCTACATAGATTCTGCTTCCTAGAATGTCAAAAAAAAATATCTGAACTGTCGAAACCTTTATGTTGACAAGTAAAATTAAATTTGAATCTCTGAAAATGAAGAAACCAATTTCATCTGTTTTGCAAGACGCGTACCGGTACATCACTTAATTTAGGATTATTTTCATGAAGTTAAAATATATGGCACTTCTTTCAAATATTAGTACACGATCATATGCAAAAGAGTTTAATTTCACAATATATTTATTTAAATGAGCTGATGGGCGTCTGTTTCTTAAATTTGATATTGGTATTTTAGACTTATAGATATTTCTCGCTCACTGAATAGAATATTTCTGTTCATTGAAACACGCGTCCAAACAAAAAAGGAAGTGTAGATTCCTTAGATGAAAATTGCCAGATAAAATATATCTAAAAATAATACAGATCGACAAAACCTTGAATCTATATAAATTGTATTACCTAGAGTAAATACTGAAGCTGAAGTAGCAGGAGTGACTGTACAGGTAGGGTTGAATATCTGAACTCTATCAACATCATTATATTTTAATAATATCAACTGAGTTCCAGCTGGAGTATTTTCAGGTATAGATATACTTTCTGGTAAATTTGTAATTTCTGGTCGCGAATTAAGGTCTGAAAATCAAGAACAGGAAAGAGATGACAATTGTCTTAAACACTTTGAATGAAAATAAAACCAGGTATTGATAGTAGTAGCAGGTGGTGCTGTTGATCTATTTTATGCTTGCTTTTAAGGAGCACTCTTGGAATCTTCCAAAAAATATTAACATCTGAAGTAAAACTTACCATTGACAATGACTCTTATGATAAGTTGTTTAGATTTATCCCCATCACTAACATTGACTGTTATAGTTACAGGACTCACAGCTACAGCAAGAAAATCAACAGCTGCTAAAATTTCATGTGTGACTGAAATAGACGACAACTTGTGTGTAATTGAAGTCAGTAAAACCCGAACTATGAGCAACCTCGAGCTAATTTTCAATGTTGTTTTGGGGACCGATATAACCATCTAGGAAACCTTTATATGTTTGAAATGAACTACTACTCTCCTCTCAAAAAAAGTTTTTGGACTTGACTCAAGTGTTCTAAGATTTAAACATGATCTAGGAGATGTCCATCAGCAGAATCATCAAATTGCATTGGTCAGTCTCTGCACACAAATTGTTTGGAAAGAAATAAGATGCATGCCCCTTTCCAATTAGCTAAAAATTTACACTTTTATCTTTTATATACTGAAAACAAACCAAGAATTTACTACTTTCTAATTAACTTATGTCTTCATAGCAGATGGACTGCAGAATCTTTATATTCTAGTTACCTGGATTTATATCAAAATAATTGACTTGAGGTGTAGTTTTATAATCATAAGTTAAGGGATCACCATCAGGATCATTAGCTGTTACTGTATAGAGTAGGTCATTCTTGATTATGGCACTAGCATCCGTACTCATGTTTAACCCAGCTGAAGAAAAAAATGGTTTGTTTATAAATATTAGAAAGGAGCTAAATTATCCAAAGAAATATTGTATTTATTGTTTCAAATATATATTTAGATACATAATAACCATGCATTGATACACAGGGGTTGGTAGTCAAGTCAGTATTAGGTTAGATAATCTTATATAAATAAGAGTTAGATTATGCGTCACATACCTGTAGGTACACCACCCTGTGTTATGATTGGTGCTTGATTCTCTATTATATTAATAGTCAGAATATCTGATTCTATACCAGTGATACCAGCACATTCTACTGTCACTTCGTAAGTATTGTATACATCATAATCAAGTTTTTGAGGACTTTTCTCATTATAAAACACATACCATTCTGAAAAGGGGTAAGAAAGTGTACAAGTTAAAAAGGATTAACAATTATTAGACATATACGACAATGTAAAATATGGGCAGTGAAATGAACCTTTACTCGAATTTTTTCATAATCTTAACTTTATTAGAGAAAAGAATATTCATGTTCATAAGGAATACCGATTTTCTCCAGATCAGTTGAAGTAACATACTTACGGATGTTGTTTGCTGACACAGTTGTAAAACTTCGTTGAAAAGGGTAGTCTGTAATAGCAGTTGCTGGTGGAGAATCCACATTCACAATGTCACAATTGACGATAGTACCAGCTGGGGTCACTTCGACCAACGTCAGATTTAAGCTACCTTTCTGTCTCTCTTTTAACGAGATTGTATCTGGGTTTAATGCTATGCCAGTAAGCTATAAAATTATATATCTGAGTTTAATGCTATACAAGTTAGATATAAAAGTATATATCTGGGTTTAATGCTATACAAGTAAGCTATAAAAGTATATATCTGGGTTTAATGCTATGCCAGTAAGCTATAAAAGTATATATCTGAGTTTAATGCTATACATGTTAGATATAAAAGTATATATCTGGGTTTAATGCTATACAAGTAAGCTATAAAAGTATATATCTGAGTTTAATGCTATACAAGTTAGATATAAAAGTATATATTATCTGGGTTTAATGTTATACAAGTAAGATATAAAAGTATATATTATCTGGGTTTAATGTTATACAAGTAAGATATAAAAGTATATATCTGGGTTTAATGCTATACAAGTAAGTTATAAAAGTATATATCTGGGTTTAATGTTATACAAGTAAGATATAAAAGTATATATCTGGGTTTAATGTTATACAAGTAAGCTATAAAAGTATATATCTGGGTTTAATGTTATACAAGTAAGATATAAAAGTATATATCTGGGTTTAATGCTATACAAGTAAGCTATAAAAGTATATATCTGGGGTTAATGCTATACAAGTAAGCTATAAAAGTATATATCTGGGTTTAATGTATACAAGTAAGCTATAAAAGTATATATCTGTGTTTAATGCTATACAAGTAGGATATAAAAATATATATCTGGATTTAATGTTATACAAGTATGCTATAAAAATATATATCTGGGTTTAATGTTTTACAAGTAAGTTATAAAAGTATATATCTGGGTTAAATGTTTTACAAGTAAGCTATAAAAGTATATATCTGGGTTTAATGTTATACAAGTAAGCTATTAAAGTATATATCTGGGTTTAATGCTATACAAGTAAGCGATAAAAGTATATATCTGGGTTTAATGTATACAAGTAAGCTATAAAAGTATATATCTGGGTTTAATGTTATACAAGTAAGCTATTAAAGTATATATCTGGGTTTAATGTTATACAAATAAGATATAAAAGTATATATCTGGGTTTAATGTTATACAAGTAAGATATAAAAGTATATATCTGGGTTTAATGTTATACAAGTAAGATATAAAAGTATATATCTGGGTTTAATGTTATACAAGTAAGCTATTAAAGTATATATTTGGGTTTAATGCTATACAAGTAAGCTATAAAAGTATATATCTGAGTTTAATGCTATACAAGTTAGATATAAAAGTATATATTATCTGGGTTTAATGTTATACAAGTAAGATATAAAAGTATATATTATCTGGGTTTAATGTTATACATGTAAGATATAAAAGTATATATCTGGGTTTAATGTTATACAAGTAAGCTATAAAAGTATATATCTGGGTTTAATGCTATACAAGCAAGCTATAAAAGTATATATCTGGGTTTAATGTTATACAAGTAAGATATAAAAGTATATATCTGGGTTTAATGTTATAAAAGTAAGATATAAAAGTATATATCTGGGTTTAATGTTATACAAGTAAGCTATAAAAGTATATATCTGGGTTTAATGTTATACAAGTAAGCTATAGAAGTATATATCTGGGTTTAATGTTATACAAGTAAGATATAAAAGTATATATTTGGGTTTAATGTTATACAAGTAAGCTATAAAAGTATATATCTGGGTTTAATGTTATATAAGTAAGCTAAAAAAGTATATATCTGGGTTTAATGTTATACAAGTAAGATATAAAAGTATATATCTGGGTTTATTGTTATACAAGTAAGCTATAAAAGTATATATCTGGGTTTAATGTTATACAAGTAAGCTATAAAAGTATATATCTGGGTTTAATGTTATACAAGTAAGCTATAAAAGTATATATCTAGGGTTAATGCTATACAAGTAAGCTATAAAAGTATATATCTGGGTTTAATGTATACAAGTAAGCTATAAAAGTATATATCTGGGTTTAATGCTATACAAGTAGGATATAAAAATATATATCTGGATTTAATGTTATACAAGTATGCTATAAAAATATATATCTGGGTTTAATGTTTTACAAGTAAGCTATAAAAGTATATATCTGGGTTAAATGTTTTACAAGTAAGCTATAAAAGTATATATCTGGGTTTAATGTTATACAAGTAAGCTATTAAAGTATATATCTGGGTTTAATGCTATACAAGTAAGCGATAAAAGTATATATCTGGGTTTAATGTATACAAGTAAGCTATAAAAGTATATATCTGGGTTTAATGTTATACAAGTAAGCTATTAAAGTATATATCTGGGTTTAATGTTATACAAATAAGATATAAAAGTATATATCTGGGTTTAATGCTATACAAGTAAGATATAAAAGTATATATCTGGGTTTAATGTTATACAAGTAAGATATAAAAGTATATATCTGGGTTTAATGTTATACAAGTAAGCTATTAAAGTATATATCTGGGTTTAATGCTATACAAGTAAGCTATAAAAGTATATATCTGAGTTTAATGCTATACAAGTTAGATATAAAAGTATATATTATCTGGGTTTAATGTTATACAAGTAAGATATAAAAGTATATATTATCTGGGTTTAATGTTATACATGTAAGATATAAAAGTATATACCTGGGTTTAATGCTATACAAGTAAGCTATAAAAGTATATATCTGGGTTTAATGTTATACAAGTAAGATATAAAAGTATATATCTGGGTTTAATGTTATACAAGTAAGCTATAAAAGTATATATCTGGGTTTAATGTTATACAAGTAAGCTATTAAAGTATATATCTGGGTTTAATGCTATACAAGTAAGCTATAAAAGTATATATCTAGGGTTAATGCTATACAAGTAAGCTATAAAAGTATATATCTGGGTTTAATGTATACAAGTAAGCTATAAAAGTATATATCTGGGTTTAATGCTATACAAGTAGGATATAAAAATATATATCTGGATTTAATGTTATACAAGTAAGCTATTAAAGTATATATCTGGGTTTAATGTTATACAAGTAAGCTATAAAAATATATATTTGGGTTTAATGTTTTACAAGTAAGCTATAAAAGTATATATCTGGGTTAAATGTTTTACATTTAAGCTATAAAAATATATATCTGGGTTTAATGTTATACAAGTAAGATATAAAAGTATATATCTGGGTTTAATGTTATACAAGTAAGATATAAAAGTATATATCTGGGTTTAATGCTATACAAGTAAGATATAAAGGTATATTTCTTGGTTGATGCTATAAAGGGTAGGTTTTCAAACACAGGGACATTTTGATGTGTCACAGGCTATGAAAAAACACCTACCCAAGGACAATATCATTTATATATATCATCTCATGAGTACACATACACGGTCCTGGCTATCATTGTTTCTCCAGTACTTGAGAATTATTTGCAGCGTTTTATACTCTATTACTACCCGGGACCGTGTCCGATATTCAATCCTAGTCTCACTTTCGATATTTAGGGACATCGTTTTCATGCAAAATACGATTTTGGGACAAAACAGGTTGAAAACCACTGCTATATTGTAAGCTTTAAAGGCATATCTATTCGTTGAATGATATACAAGTAAGATCTAAAAGTACATCTTAAATATTATACAAGTCAGATATAAAAGTAGGCCTACATCTGGGTTGAATGCTATACAAGTCAGATATAGAAGTACCTGGGATGAATGCCATATATTCGATTTGGAAGTATAATATCTGAATGCTATAAAAGTAGATATCTGACTATAATGCTATACCAGCAAAGTATACAAGTATAGATATGTGGGATCGTGCAAAACAAGTAATCTATAGAAGTTTATATCTGAGGTTACAATGCTGAACATGTAATCTATGAAAGTATTATCTGTGGGGAAATGCTACAATAGTCAGAATATCATATCGGTATTTACAGGCTAATTTTGAACGAAACAAAATGTAAGCTAACGCGATCATTGCCAGAGAGCATGCCATGCTTACATCTGATAAACCAATCACAATAGTCATTTCAACTTCACACGAGCACATTGTTATAAAATATTTAATGAGGAGTATAATAATGCGAAAATTACGCATCTTTAAGGACAACATACAAAATACGCAAATGCCTTTAATAAAATTCTTGAAAGTGGTACAACGTAACCTACCTGGCAAGTTACATCATCGAGCAAGAGACTTAGAACTAATAACAGATATATCTTAATGACACCCATTTTTCAAAACAACACGACTACATTTCGTCTGAAATCAACAAAAAATTCGGACCTTTTTCAAAATGTTCCTTTTACAGGTGTGTATACACTCCATGGATAAGTATTCGGTCGAATTGATAATTTGCTAATTAGTTGTCGCCAAAAACGTCAAATTTATCAGGACCTCTTTCGTCGGCTTGATTTGGCTTATATAAAAACTCGCTTGTTTTCTGAATGGTTTTAGATTTTTGATAAGAGCTGAGGTTTGTACTCGACTTTCTCCTTAGTATTAGATTCCAATTACAGAAATTTTAACCGTGAAAGCCAACAAGAAGTCAAAACTTACCAAAAAACGTTGTTCCCGACATTACATTGATTGAGATGGTCAAAATAAGCAAATAAAATCAAAACAAGACGTCACTGCATATCAATATATAAAATATTATTAAATTCAGTATAATACTAATATACAATGAACAAATAGGTTAAACGATTTGTATTGTCATGTCAATGACATCTGAATTGATCACAGTGTCTATTCTTTATTCAATTCACCATACTATACAATACTTAGTAGATCTTATTTGTAAGGACACACACATACAATGAAGTCAAAATACAACGTGGACCTTCAACCTTTTTTCAAGAACTCAGATTAGCTTTTGTGTTCTGTAGGCTGTATGCCAAAAAATCATCCGAATCACCCGTTCTCTTTATAGCTATTGATAGATCTTGATTCCATCTACAAATTTGCCAATGATAATTTTATTTTCTGAGTAGCCCAGAATGCAGAAGTTGTTATTGTTAATACCCATGTCAATGACAATCACGCAGTTAAAAGTTAAAAACGTCGCACATTTCACAGGTTTCTATATAACATTTTGTTGTAAGGGAAAACATCGTTGTCTGCATCGCAAGGCCATGAAATATGACCTTGATTATTATATCATGATAAAAAATATATCAGAAAATCAGTATACTTGACTGACAAACGGACAACAATGATTTTTACAATATAAATATATAAAAAGATATTGAGCTAAAATTCGTGTCAAGGAAGATCAATTAGAAACACCTTTTATTTGTAAACTATACATGATTCTATGTCGCCAGTGCTGATGAATAACATGTACATGAGATACCATGACATCTGTATTTGTGATGGCTCACTAATCTGGATTTAACCATGGGTTCGGAGGTAGTGGCTTCGAAATATTCAATCCATTAGTTTACATGTAAGTGGTGTAGGTTAGTCACAGACTAGGGAAAGGGCAAAAGTATCCGTGTAATTCTTATATGCTGCTTGTTATAGATTACTCTAATGAAAATATATAGTTGCATCAATATTGGTTTTATTAGCCGATACAGTTGACTTTCAACTATAACATTCCCTTTTCTTATTAAAATCTCCCGCCCAGTTCTCTTGTAATAGATAAAACCGATCATTCTCTGCCTGCAAACATCACCAGATGATGCCATCTGTAATAATTGCACGTGAGAATGATCTGGAAGTGAGGAAAATAAGATCTTTTAAAGTAAGCTATTCTATTGTTGAACTTTGGCCGAACTGGATTCAAATCCATAAAATAAATATATGAAATTAGCTCATCTGGTAGAACAAATACATGGACTACTGAATCAAATGATGTCTTCATCCTTCTGAACTATATATAGGTAGCAGACGGGCTGACTTTATATGGAACGACTATCGGGGCGGAGATTCATATTGACTACAAATTGACAGTCTGCATCATGCAATTCACAGGAATACTTAGAACCAACTTTTTACTTAGATTTGAATGTGAGTGCTATCATTGTGTTTATATACATAGTTAGATTGTAACAGTCAATGTGGGTGGTGGAAATCATTCACAAATTATCAGGTCATATTGGTATTGTGGACATAAAAATCTTTTATATCAACTGTATTTCTATCAATCATGTAATTCATTTATTTACCAGTACATCAAAATATCTTTCATTCATTAGTTGTTTTAAATCTACAAATTGGATTTACATTACAACATTAATAGAACCTTATTGTATCTCACTATTTAAAGAATTACAACTACCAACTAGCATCAAACACATTAAATATAGTATAAATACTTTACTTTTAACAAACATCAAAAATAGTTACAATTCTTAATAAAGATATCACAATCTAGCTGGATTCATTTAGTAATACTACTTATACTAAATAAACATACTATATGATAACCGAAATTAAGGCCTCAGATAATTAACAAGTAATACCAGTTTTAATAGAATATAAGTTAATTCGATCATCTGATTACATCAAAAGGACCCCAAATTCTATTTATAAGCATTTGGTCGAGATTTCTAAAAGTCTCATGTCACAGGAACATAGACTTCCCAGGAAATTAAAAAGATTTTAGTCACGTCAATCCCATTAATCCAACAAATAAAATAGATCTATCATATTCATCTGAACATTAAAGCTCATGATGACAGAAAACACAAGGAAATGGTTGTCAGTGAACATAGGGCTAAGTAAAGATATCTCCATTAAAAGTTCTTATCTATACAATCTGTGATTCTTAAAGATATTTAATATTTTAATGCTTGTAGTTCTCTAAAGTAAAAATGTGTATATATCAATATTACCATAAAACTAATAGCATGTAGGTTCCACAAACACAGCTAATGCCTGATGCAAGTAATATCTGTTATTACCATCTTAGTGTTCTCTTAGTCAATGCTCTAGTGACTGTTAGTTATATCTATTTACATTAGTTTTGTATCAAATATACAATTTGAAGGTTCAATCACAGATTAGTGAGTTTATCACTAGATCTTCAAAGTTGAACCCTGTTCCAGTCACATGGTGAAGCACAAAGATCTACTAATACACCTTTATCATAACTCACCATCATCATCAAATTGGTACTGGTCCCATACGTTATCGAACAGAGTTTTACACTTGACTTTAGAACCTAATTTAGCACATAATAAAAATGATCCTGACATCTTTCTATGTAAGGAATAGGTTTCCTCAGGTGGAGGAGAGAGTCTATGTTTTAACATGATTGGTATAATATTCTGTATTCTATTAGTTGTACTTTGTGTGCTGAAGTCAAATTCTTCATTTTTAGAAAAAGCTTCACCAAGTATCATTACTGCATCAATATGAGCTTCTTCCATTACCTTTCAAAATAATTTGAAAATCAATTAATGAACATGATTTGTCAGTATTAAATTTTTTAGCTCAATCAAGACCTCTATGTCTATGTTTATGATTAATAAAACCTCTTTTAAAGATAGAATTGTGTCTAAATGAGGGTAACTAAATTATTAGAGATGCACAGGAAACAAATATTAAACCAAGTACTTGTAATACCGTATATTTCTGAATATAATGCTTGCTTTTTACCCCAAAATGGACCCCTTACAGAAGGGGTGCACACTATACACAGTGAAATAAATTTTGAGTTTTTTTTCCCTTCGAAAATACTGCGAATCGATGTTGAGGATCCACCTTCAATGCCATGTTGGTATGCGCATTATACACACTTGCGCATTATATTCGGAAATGTACGGTACCTGCTGCCCTTTCATCTGTACTTTGTTGCTTGTAAGTCAAGAATATTCCCTTAAATTTGCCAAAAAGGGTTTGGCACTTAAGCAACTTTACATTATTGTCAAAATGCATCATAAAAAAAATCAGAATCTTCAAAAATTATAACAAAGAGAATTATGAAATCAAATGTTTAATATTTACTTATTATGTTTAATATAATTCCCATGCATGACAGACTGTAATTCCTATTTCATATATTTTCTCTTCAGTCAGCACTTTGAATAATATATGATTTGAGATAAGAGTAAATATAACATACAAACCTTTGTTTCATAACCAGTTAAAAAACCAAGTTTCTGAGACCATGATAATATTTTTTCTCTATCACCAATAGCTGCTGCCTTAATAACTCTGATATATCTATCTACAAATACTTTATCAAACTCTCTTGTAGCACCAAAATCTAACAATATCAACTGAAATGGAATTACAAATTATTATCACAAGAAAATTCTTCAGTTCCTGTCAGTTATCTTTAGATAGTATTGGTTGGTCTAGCATTAGTACACTGTCAGTAGGTGTTCTGCACAAAATGTATTTTAATCTTTATGGAGATTTATCAAGGCCTGAACAGTTCTAGCATTAAAATAGGAACTGAAAGAAACCAATCAAAAACAGTTGACAGAAAAATAAACCTAATGTAATTGTACATAATAATTAAAAGTATAATGGATCTGAAGTAGTCTGACATTAGAAACTTTATCAAACAGTCTAATCCAAACCAATGTAAAAATACAGACAATATGACTAGTATTATCAGACCTTGAATTATTCATAAGATTAATTCAATCCTCAAGACTTATCACAGAGTAGACTGAATTACAAAGGGAGATTCCAATGCAATTCATCACTTGACTTTAAATATAAAATCTAACACTCTCCAAAAAGGAAATACAGGTATTGTTAATTTAATATTCATAATAAAACCAATATATACATATTGAATTATCATACTCACCTTTTCAGTTTGCTCATTATAAAAGAAATTGGACCAGTTAGGATCAGTCTGCATAAATCTAAACTCAAATAATTCTAATAAACATAATCTTAATATTGATTCACCAATCTGCAAAATAAGAAAAAAAATATTATTTAGAAAGGTGCCAGACTCATTTCAAGATAGTGTTATATGTTTAGCAGTGAAGTTAGTCAAATATCAAGATATATTTAAAGTTTGTAATTAAGAAATAAAATGTAATTATATTTAATAATGGTGTCAGGTCAAGATATATTTATATTAAGTGTTGGTGTCAGGTTAATATATTTATATTTAGTATGTATAGTGTCAGATCATGGTTGTTGGACTAGAATAAAGATAAAATTAGGAATGATGTCAGGCCACTACAAAATATGATCAAGGAATCACTTGTATATAATTGAACAACAAATGTCCTATAGGTGGAGGAAGCAATATTATTTTGATATTGAATTTGTTTCATATTGCCTCATATTTTGTACATTGTGTAACACAATTTGTTTTATGAACAATAACTTCAATCAATGCACTACTCTTGGCTTCCCTTATAGTTTCCTTTTTGATGTGTCATGAATATGATCAGTATGGTATTAAGTCAGACTTAAAATGAACTATATATGAATATGAGTAATATTGAATAAAAACAGACGTCTATGAGACCAGTAAAAAACTTTGTGAAATGGTTTGTGTATCTTCTATTTTATTGAACACTTTCTTAAACCTTTAGACCCACTGCATCTTCCTTAGCTTAGGCTATAATGTGGTTGTGTATTGTCTTAGCACTGTTCGTCCGTCTGTCGGTCCACAATTGACTTATGAATACGATAGAGACAATAGTTTTTATCTGATTTTAATTAAATTTGGTGTGATCATTTATATTAATGAGCCCTTGACGCATCAATATTTGTTGTCTTGTTAACGCGACATTTTAAGGTGACATTTTATGTCATAATTTTATTAAATTTTGTGTGTTAAATCAACAATATCTTGCACAAATTAGATTTTTGGTATGATTTGACACAGATTGGTGACCGCCCTTGATATACTGAAGATAGCTTGCCAGATGATAACAAAGTCTGTAGTGGTTTAATATGTGAAACAAATCATCCAATTGTTACTAATTTCAATATGATATATATATATATATATATATTATACATTATAAAATATGTTGGGAAGATATAAGATAGGGTAATGACAAAAGGATGCAAGTTTCAACAAACAGGAAAATGAGAAAATGTTGAAATAGCTGGTTTCTGACCAACATTTCAGAAAAATAATCAATGTAGGTAATATTTTAATGTTTTGATGTATGTCAGCTAAATATTTAGTTTATAAATAATCCAATTATAAACGTATTACCTAATATAATGTATAATTTATTAAAGGAAATATTTATGATATAGATAAGTTTATATTTACATTATAATTTTATCTATGTACCTTAACAGAACACAGATGCAAATATCTTTACGTACCAAAAAGAATATGCATAACCTAGAAATTGCAATTCTAAAAATTTGGTTTATATGAGCTCTTTGACTTTAAATTGTGTTTGGAATTGTTTAATTAAAGCACTGATCAATACAGAATTGTTTATTTGATGAATAAGAGTTCATTTTTTTTTTGTTCAATAAAAAAATCAAGTATACAGAAATTTAAAAAAAAAATGATCTTTGGAAACTACAAAATATACAAAATAAAATAAGTCAAACAATTGAAAGAATTCGCACGTGCATGAAAGACACTAATAAAGATTCTTTGGCAAAGGAAAGGAAATAAAGCATCTTGAAATAATCAACCATCCAATTAAAAAGATTTTGAAATCATTATTTAAGATATTATGCAATGCATCACAATTATCTATTAACAAAACATTTGTTTATCATCAATCTGCTTACTGTAATTGTGTGTATTTACCTTTCTTTTCTCACTTCCTATAATCTTGAAACAAAACAGATAAAACTGTAACATCTTACTGGAATTTTTACAACAATATCAGAGTATCATTTACAACAGTATCTTTTGACAGCATCTCAAAGACAGTATCACTTTGACGGTATTCCAAAGACTGTATCACTCTCACAGTATCCTTAAGACATTATCACAGAGATGGTATTAATTAGGCAGCATCATTTAAAAAGTATCACTTTGACAGTATCAACTTGACAATCTTATTTTGACACTTTCCCTTAATAGATTGATAGTACCACTGAGATAATTCCTATCCAGCAACAGCATTTAAACATTATCACTTGAACAGTAACCCATCCACAATATCACATTGAACGTAATGAAGTGATACCAATTAGGCAGTATCATTCACAACAGTATTACCTATGACACTATCCCATGACAGTATCACTGAGATTGACCCTATTACCCAGGTTTCTTCCCACAGTATCAAAATGACGGGAACACAGAGATGGTACCATTTAGGCAGTAGTGATTATAGACGGTACCACTTTATTACTGTCAAGTGGGAGTTTTTCTTGCAATTTCATTGAGATGGTACCATGGTATAATTTAGGAAGTATCACTTTAACAGCATTCCATCACTGAGATGGTACCATGGTATAATTTAGGAAGTATCACTTTAACAGTATTCCATCACTGAGATGGTACCAATTAAGCAGTCTTTTTTTTTTTTAACCAAAGTACAAATACAGAACATGATGAAATGGAAAAATAATAAAATATGATAGAAACACAACATTTATGTATTATCACCTCAGTAGTCTTTAATGAATAGTAATAATAAAAACTGTTTTTACATTAGAATAAATGTGGTCATGAACTGTTAAAACACTTTAATACAAGACCTTTAGTAATGATATGGTACATGTAACCATCCAGTAACTACAATCAAAACCATGTAAGGAACATCAATATTATTAAGTGGAAGTCACAAATATTTTTCTTGTCTTCTAATATTCAAATCAGTGAAAACGTACAGGTGATGTATTGCTCTCCTCAATAGAACCAATTGATGGTACAGTTTGTATGGATATTTTTTCTATTTGACTTTGAGAAGGTGCCACTTTTAAACTTGATCTTGAAGATGTGGTCAATCGTCGTATATTAGCAGTTGATAAACTTTTTATACTACTAGATACAGTCAGATTCTCTATATTTATAACATTTGTATGAGAAAAACGTCTTATTTGAACAAGTTTCATGTATAACACTTTTTTAAAAGCCTGACGAAACTCCTGTCTCAGTAAAGCATAAATAATAGGATTGACCATAGAGTTACTGAAACTAAGACATAGAGAGAAGTTTTTAATGATATCTAGTTGATAGTTAGATAAAGACATCAATCTAAATGGTGCTATTAACATGTATGGTAACCAAAATATTACAAACATCAACAACACTATCGCCATTACTTTAGAAGATTTCAAATCTCTATCCATTTTCTGCTTATATTCTGGAGATCTATTGACAGCGGTTTCTAATATTTTCCGATGTTGTCTCTTTGCCTCAATAAAAATTCTGATATAAAGTAAGGTTGCCAAGAGTAAACAAACTCCTAATAATAGAAGGGCAGCAAATACAACATAAGCCGGAGGTAATATTTTATAGAAATCACAGACAGAATCGTCCTGCCATAAATTCCAACCAAATATTGGTAATAAACTTGTGATGGTAATATAAATCCACAGTATCATTATAGCTACCTTGACACGAAATGGTGTCACCAAACTATTATAACGTAAACAATACACCACTGCTATATACCTGTCTATTGATATAAATAACAGATTTAATAAGGAGGCACCACATGACAGTATCACAAAGGCATATCGAACTAAACAGGCAAACTTATTCCTGATAATATTTCCAGGCTCAAAATAAAAGACAACATACATAGGAATGGTAATGGCACCAACTAAGAGATCTGCAACTGCTAAACTTACTACAAATAAATTAGTGACAGTTTGTAGATTGTCAAAACTAGAAACTGCCATAAGTACTAATATATTACCACCTAATATAAACGGTATAAATAAAACATTCAACGTGGCCACTACTTTATGAAATAAGAGTAAATCTGAAGAATTTGTCACATTAGTTCCAATAATAGCTGACATGTTATCACTGACATTGTGCCAGAATACTGCTTGGGAAATTTCCATTCTAGATAAAGTAGTCTTTTCCAAAGTTAACTTAAGTGAAATGGCAGATTTGTAAGTTTTTGTACCAAACCTGAAAATTTACAATGGAAATCCAAAATCTAATTATTAAACGATTTATAACTTGCACATTTTTTCTTAAGTGCTTTTTTCTTCAAAAACACACAGGAAATCTTAATTAAGTAATAAATCTTCCAGATAAATATCTCTGGTGACACTCATTCCTTAGAATTCCATTAGAATGAAGAATAGAAAGGCTGGATACAAGATTGACTCTAACCACTTTGTACTGAAGTTGTTAACACACTATCTATATACACCACTCAACTTCCTACAACAATCTGATTGGCTACAAACTATACAGTACAGATAACTTTTCCATGCAACTATCAAAAATATCCTAAAGCACAATATTTATTTAGCATGAAGTGATTCCCACTGGAATTTTGTAATAAATTAATTGTTTGTTTATCCTGAATCAAAGAGTTAAAAATGTAATATGACACATTAAAACTACTATTGTATATGAAATATGAAGCTTATTATATATCTATATAATAATATCTCAACAATGATCACATTTCCCCACCCCCATCCCCACACAAAAAAATGGACAATTCTCCACCCTCTATTTATGGGTAATCATGTATCACAAGACATGCAAATTAAAATTAATATGCTTTAATGTTTCGATAATTCATTTGAGGCACTTGTCAAATCTTTTCAACATTAGGTTTAATGCATTATCTCAAATTGCATGATATAATACTGTGTTCAGAGAACTACAGTTAAGGCAGCTGGACTATGAAGTGTTCTTTAAGTCTTTGACAGGTATAAAGGTTAAGCATTATGGTGGAAGTTATAGGGAAGTTCAGAGGTCATAAACCTTTACACATGCGCATTAAGAGAAAAATAACAATAATGGCAGGAACAGGTTTGGAGGAATGTGCAAGT